TTGTTGAGCTCTTTGTCCTGGCTCAGCTACACTTTGGAAGGTGCTTCTAGCACTCCAAGACCGAGGCTGACTCTCAGCTCCCTGAAGAAATCCAAGAAATACTAGGATTTCAGACAAATTGAATCTAATTTAGTATTATTTCCCAGCCTCTCAAGTTCTTTTATACAACAACTGCCGCAAATCCCAGTCAACAAAGTCAAATGGGAGTGGAGGCTTATTAAGGGAATTGTAGTTCAAATGATCTAGTGGGTTCAGATTGGGGAAGATGAATATGTACCAATAACAGTCACATTCTCTGAGTTGGGTTTATTCCTTTATTCATGGTATTATTATGCTGCTCAATTCCAAAATGGCTCTGAGTGATGTATAACATGTAGCTTGTTTAACGTTGGTTTAACCTGCGGTGTGCACTCAGTTATTAGAGTTTGTAAATCATGGTTTATAGCTTAATGCATTGCATGAATCCTTGTGTAGCTAAAATGCACCACAAGGATTGGGGAAACCTATTTTGCTTTTAAAGCCAAAGAAGTGTTTCCCAACCTTGGCAACTTTAAGCGGTGTAGACTGCAACTCCCAGAATTCCCCAGCCAGCCAGGCTGGCTGGGGAATCCTGGGAGTCGCAGTCCACACCGCTTAAAATTGCCAAGTTTGAGAAACACTGAGTCAAATCTTTAAGGGGCACAGGGAAGAGTTATTCCCACTTCAAACCACCCAATGAAGATTGATCATGTTCACTGCACAGGGGGTGGTACTGACAATGCCCCTCAAGCTTCTTGGTCAGTGGGGCCGGGCTAATGGGCATATAGAGAAAAAGAAAGGGACCTTAGATGTAGATTTCAGGAGTCAGCTGAGAAAATCACACTTTTTAGCATACTGATCGGACATCTCTCCCGCACGCCAGGTGGTTTCAGATTAAACATCCTCAGAAGATTTGCAGTGGAATGATGAAGTCTAGCAAATGCAATTCCTCCCCTCCCCTTAGTCTACATGAGGGGAAAATAATGCAGTGACTCAAATTCTATTTTATTTGTACCTATTGAAGGCATAGGAGTCTTATATTTTAATGAATGTAGTCTAGAGCTTACTAGTCAATTATTTCCATTTGGGGACACAAACTCAAATCCTTTTCTGTCCCATCCTCTCAGCCCTCATTGTCAATGTTAGCTTGATTTTATGTCAGTTTGAAAGCCACAGAGCACTGGTGTTGATAACAGCAGGCTGCCAATTGGCAGGGATGTGCCATGCAACTTTCCTACAAATCAGGTCAATTGTGTTGCCATGGTGAAAGGCTGTGATCTCATAAAGAATGGAATTATCAGATTATGAGCAGAACTAAGAGATTCCAATGAACGAAAGTGGAGAGGGGAGGTGGCAGGGGGATCAGCCAGAGATCCCATTATGAAGATCGGCAGAGAAAGAAAATTATCCCTCTGGCCTAATTCATGCAACATGCTGAGCCATCCTGTTGCTTCCTTACCGTTGCTTCACGCACTCAGTCATTATAGTTTGCAAACCACGGCTGACAGCTAAATGTGTTGTATGAATCCAGCCAATTGCAGTTTATTCAATAAACCATAGTTAAGCAAATGTTTTAATACTGTGAGCCAAATCTCTCTCTGCATATACTTACAACTTTCTTAGCAGAGGATACAAGAGAAGGACAGTCCTTTGTGTCAGATGGTAGTGTCATGATAGCGCAAAGTGAGACGTCCCCTAAGCTTTTGTTCAACAAGCGCTCATGATGCTTACTCAAATGCATGGGTAATTCCCACACACATGAACACCAATGCCTTTTGATAGCTGGTCGCTACCATTTTTATACCACCCACACAGAGGCAGCTTAAAAAGTTTAGCAGGGTTCAATGTAGTTAGGAAAAACATCCAAATTCTGCAGCTGGTTGGAAAGAAGGAGCCTAGAGCCTAGATCTACTAAAGCTTGTTCTTTCCATTCCCAACATCTATTTTATCTGTTGTTCAATAGATGCTAGAAGAACAGCACAAGAGTGCTCACAATGAAACTATCATTTGAGCTGGTTTTCTTTGGAACTGCTATGCTTTTCAAAATAGTTCTCTTTCTAGCTTGATAAGAGGCAACATGTACCCACTGTAGTTGTAACACCAGCATGGTCACTTGCACAGGGAAAGGACTACTGAGACCACTTAGAGCTTTTATACCTTGAATTTAAAGTTTCCTTGTTCTTATTCCTGACTATCAGACTTGGGGTATGCATTATGCTAATGTAGCTTGTTTGGTTTTGGTTTAGTGGGTTGTGTGAATCTAGTCATTGGGGTTTATTTAACAAATTATGGTTAAAGCAATGGCTTAATTAAAAAAAACTTCTCATTTTCCCAAGCTTACTTTTCCTCCTTCAAATTATGGATAAAAGGTATAAAGGTGATCGGATTGTCATCTTGCAAACTGAGACCCTGAAAATGGAGGGAAATTGCCTTGGTGATTAATCTTAAGGGGGAGGAATAATGTGAGGGAGCATCTGCCTATTCTGAACACGCTCTAGCTCATCCTCATCGCTGTGTATGCTGGTGGCCTCAGTTTCATCTTCTTTCCTCCGACCAGAAAGATGATGTGATTAGAACTGTCCACCTTGATTTCCTCAGTTCAGATGACAATATGTATCATGGTCTGTATGCTAATTTTAAATCAAGATTTTGCATCCTGGTTTTCTAGGAAATGTTGAACTATATGGTTAAGTGATTAGAGTTAGCTTGTGGTTGGCCCCAGAGCATTGAGGGAGCATATAACAAAGCTATCTAGACATGAAACCTGCACAGCAAATAGTGGGGCCTTATCATTATTCCATAATGCAAACACAGGGTAATTTATTCACTGTAGTAACAACTCAGCTTTGGATCTCTTCTAATATTTTACAGACATCAAATGTGGCAGGAGTTCCAAAACTCTGCTAGTTAAACTCTTGACATCATGGCATGCATTTCTCATGTACTGCAATTTTGAAGGAAGCTAAGCAAAAAGGATGGTTGAAAGGGACCAGGACACACGGGGCCACGTGTTATGGAAATAAGGACCAAGAAGCATTGGAAGAAGGGAGAGGATTGACATGTGTAAGTCAATCCTTCCCAATCTGCCACCCACCGGATGTCCCAGAACACAAGGGACTCCTGTTGGAAGTTCATTTATCTTCCCTTCAAGATGCAGAACAGGAAGAACACTTTTAGCCTTACCTACTCTGGGAAGATGTCATTTAGATTTTGTTTATCACTGTTGATTTGAATTCAGCAGGCACTCTTGCTGGAGGATGTGCTCCTGAACATAAGCAGGGTGCTGAAAGAATACAAAGTATTTAAGTTGCAGAACATCCCATTAAAAAAAAAGTAAAATATGTTGTCTTGGATGCAGACAATCATTATATCTGAAGCAAAAGCTAGGCTTATTAAGAAATACATGAGGATAGAAAAGCTCACTTTTATCTAAACTGCATTTTGGAGAGGAGGAGGGAGAGACAGGAAATTAAATACTAATATTTAAGTTAAGCCCTTATATACTAACTATAGCTCGTCTAGCTAGCAATAAGCCAGGTGAGAAAGATCAATACAAACAGGGACAGGTGAAGACCCTTCTCCTTATCTATCTCCAGCCATTTGCCCTAGTGGCCAAAACAGCTCAGAAGCCAGTTATGGGAATCGAACATGGAGTATGGCTTAGCCTCTGTCAATCAAACCATGTTGTAACTTACTCAGCAAACCTCCCATAAGCAACCCATAGCCTTTTAATGCAACAAATGACTCCAGGATTTTAAAAGCATCCTATGCCATGCTGAGCCATAAACAAACCACAGTAGTTTACTGTGATAGGTAATCCCAGCCGAGTGCTGACCCATTCTTTCCCAAAAAGCCGTGTTTGTAAAGGTAGTGGCCCCACTCTGCGTTGGAATGAGAAAGCACCCAGATGCAGGCAGGAAACTGCCCCATTACCAAGACAGGCTTGGAATGAACTACACCAATCTGGAACCTTTCTGATGGAGAACTGACTGATCATGTGCCGTCAAGTCATTTTCAACTCCTAGCGACCACAGAGATAGATTTTCTCCATGACGATCTTTCCCCAACCTGATCTTTCAGGTCTTCTAACATTGGACCCATGGCCACTGTGACTGAGTCCCTCCACCTTATTGCTGGTCATCCTCTTCTTCTCTTTCCTTCCACATTTCCCAGCATCAAAGAGTTGGGTCTTTGCATTATGTGTCCAAGATAGACAGACAGATGTACTATCAGTTGGAGACTGCATTTCATGACAATCTGTCCCTCACCTGGCCCTTCAGGTCTTCCAAGGGCCACTGTAACTGAGTCCCTCCATCTTATTGCTGGTCGCCCTCTTCTCTTTCCTTCCACCTTTCCCGCCATTAGAGCCTTTTCCAGAGAGCTGGGTCTTTGCAGAATGCGTCCGAAGTATCCGAGCCTGGTCATTTGTGCCTCAAGAGAGAACTCTTGTTTGGTGGAGAACTGTCGCTCCTGAAATCCTCAACAAGTAACCCATCGCATCTGGAAGGCCCACGATTGGTACAAAGTAACCCGCCCTCACTCGCAGCGGCCCTCCCGAGCCTGAAACGGGCCTCCTTCCCACCCCCGAGGAGCGCAACCTCTGCTGGAACGAAGCGAGCGCGGCCCTCCGATTTTCCCACGCGGGCTAGCCTCCTCGACGGGCGCGGCGGGGTGAGCCAATGAGCGATCGCCCGGGCTCCTCGGTTAGGAAAGAGTTATGGCGCGGCCACGCCTCTTGAGGAGGCCGGGAGCGAATCAGAGGAGAGGGGGCGTGGCCGGGTGGAATGTTGTGAAGGTGGAAGCGGAGCGCTGCGCGTTGCGAGTGAGCGGGCGGGCGGAGAGCGGCGATGGGGAGCGCGAGCCGGACTGGCGGCGCGCGGTGCCGTGACTGACGGCCGGCGGGGATACGGAGAAGGCGGAGGGATGTGGCTTGCCGCGTTACGGACTGCCCCGAGGAAGCCGGTGAGTGCGGAGTAATGCGGAATGCAATGGACTAAGAGGGAAGGGCGAACGGAAGCCCAGAAGCTATTAGGTGCGTTAAGGACACCGCGCTGCGTTGCCCTGGGATTCCCGCCGTGTTTATTCCGGGAACCTCCTCTCGCGGTGCAAGTGGGATCTCTCGCCCTCGCAAGAATCGGATGATCCGGGCGCGGGAGCAAGGCGCAGAAAGCTCCAGTTCTCCGGCCAAAGGGAGAAAAGTGATAGGCGGATGGGGGGGAAAAGATAATAAAACCTGCACCGGGACAGAAATAACTTCGGTTGGAGAGAAAGGGCTGGTGCCTCGCAGGAAGTGGGGAGCAAATCGAAGTGGTCCCAGAAAGACGCGAAGGTGATGGAAAGATCAACAGGAAGGGTTAGAAAGACCTCCAGGAGGCTTCGGTGAAGGTTGAGGGTTAAGCTTGTTGAAACTCCTGAGTAGCCCAAAGAATAGTTCCGTTAATAAAACAAAGGAAAACCGCAGGAAAGCATTGGCTTGAAGATCATTGGTGGACAAAGATTTGGGCTTATTTCTTTGGGGGCAGAGAAATGTCTCCATCGGAAAGCACGCAGCGCCAAGAATCCAAGGAATTTGGGACTGCAAGCGTCGCTTTGAGTTTGTTCAAGGGCAGAAGACACAGTCACCTGGTTCCTTCGTTCTTTTAAAGTAAAAACTCAGATTCAAACCCAGCTCGAGTGGAAGAAAGGTAGATTCTCCACTAAGGATCCCGTAAGGATCCAGTACCCAGTGAGACTTTTATCTGTTACTTACCGGATTGTCAGATCGTCCCCTAGAGGTATGTGATAAGGGAATAGGGCTGTGTCAGGCCAAATCAGATACCAGAACAAAAGAAGAACCCAACACAGTCACAAACTGGAAGGGTGAGTTGATAAAATGACATAGATTTTTTTTTTAATCCACAGGGGAAGAAAGGGCAGTCTTTGAAGATTTAAAAAGAAAAAGAAAAAAAAGCACCAGGAAGTGGTAAGGAAAAAAGTAGCAATCAAACTCAGGCTGTTTACACAGACTAAAATAAATATGGAGTAAATATTGTAGATGATAAAGGCTGTGTGGTTCAGAACCACACCAAACTTTTGGAACTGAAGAAGCCATTAAATCAACTCTAACAAGAGAAACTGTGGAGAGGGGAATTTCAAGTGTACCCTAAAATGGGGAAAGAAATTGGACCCCTAGACATTGCCATCTGCAGCATTCTTAACATAGGCTCCAGTTCTGATGTTTGAGCTCCTGTTTCTCTCCAATGAATATAATTCCACCTTGTGCCTGAATAAGTTCACTTTCTGGATTGCTCTACTGATCAAATTGACTTCCTTTTCAAATAAGGATTTGGTGGGTTCTGTATGAACCTATGCAGGCCAGGAAAAAATACATGTTCATGACTCTCTTTGCCACGTGGCTTCTGCTTGTTTTGTTTGGAGGAGACCAAATAAGACGCTTTGCCTTTTTCTCTAGCAAAAAAGCTGAAATATTGAAGACCTGGCCTCGCTGGGCAGACAGGTTTCTTCTCAAGAACTTTGCAGATTCTGAGGAGCTCCAGAACAATGACAGGGGCCACAGTGACCAGTCTCCCAAAAGTCGGCGGGAGTTGAGGTTGAGTGTTTACAAGAACAGCAGGTGCCGTATGGAGACTTGCTTTGATTTTTCCAAATGTAGGGAACACGGGTTCAAAGTCTTTGTTTACCCCCTGGAAGGAGGGGATCCTGTATCAGAAAGTTACCTCAAAATCATCACCTCCATTGAAGAGTCACGCTATTACACCTCCAACCCTGAGGAAGCCTGCCTGTTTGTTCTAAATATTGACACACTGGATAGGGACCATCTCTCTGTACAGTATGTCCATAACATCAACGAGAAAATCCAAGGTTTCCGGCTTTGGAACGATGGGCGAAACCATCTCATATTTAACCTGTATTCTGGCACATGGCCTAATTACACTGAAGATTTGGGCTTTGACATTGGACAGGCTATCTTAGCTAAAGCCAGCTTTTATGTTGAGAACTTCCGCCCTGGTTTTGATATCTCCATCCCTTTGTTTTCGAAGGACCATCCCCAGAAAGGTGGGGAAAGAGGTTGGCTGTATAAGACTTCTCTCCCACCCAAGAAAAAGTATCTCTTGGTTTTTAAAGGGAAGAGGTACCTGACTGGCATTGGTTCCGACACCAGAAATGCTCTCCGCCACATCCATAATGGTAAAGATATTATTTCTTTGACAACGTGTAAACATGGGAAAGACTGGGAGAAGCACAAGGACAATCGATGTGACAAAGATAATACCGAATATGAAAAGTAAGTAAACACATTTTCTCTCTGAAGTGCATCATGCAGGGAGGCAGAGTGAGGTGCTAGATCTTGAATGTTGTTAATCATTTTTAATTAAATGTGCCCCAAGTTATAAGTGTGTAGGGTGCAATGTTTATTTTCAGCTTCAGGTACTGAAATGTTTAGGGCAAGCCCTGCTTATAGCTCAGATGGGTTTCTAAGTTGATTAGCTGTTGGAGTAAAGAAATTAGAGGAATCAGCAAATTTTTAAAAATGCAAATACTGTAGAGCAGTATTTCTCAACCTCAGCAACTTTAAGACAGGTGGGCTTTAACTCCCAGAATTCCCCA